AAGGTCGCGGTTCGAATCCCCGCGGCGGGGTGCGCTCCCGCTGCTCGGTCCCAGCGCCTGCCAACCTAGCAGTTTGAAAGCACCCCCGGGTGCAAGTAGATAAATAGGGACCGCTTACCAGCGGGAAGGTAAACGGCGTTCCGTGTGCTGCGCTGGCTCGCCAGATGCAGCTTGTCATGCTGGCCACGTGACCCGGAAGTGTCTGCGGACAGCGCTGGCCCTCGGCCTCTTGAGTGAGATGGGCGCACAACCCTAGAGTCTGTCAAGACTGGCCCGTACGAGCAGGGGTACCTTTATTGTGCCTGCATACCCTGCGCTAAAGTTTATTGCACACAGCAGAGAAGCCCTAATGGATTAAGATGTATAATACTATGACATGTCTGTATTGTTTTTCTGTAAGCTGCTTGAACCTTGTGTAACTCTTCTGCTTTCAGTGCTACTGGTTGAGACTTTGGCTTCAGAAAACAGATATGAAGTCCCAGAAAACCAATATGAAGCCAAAACAAAAGTGAAAGCATGACATGTATGGCCAAATTTGGGGAGATTGTTATTTACTCATATTAATTGCTTTGTTGATGTTAATTATTAGTTTACACCATTTAGTATATACAAATTATATATAATTGCTTTGCTTCAAATTTCATCATATTTAAGTTGCTTTATTTTCAAACATTTTGTCTTATGCAATTTTATTTCCTGTAAATTCCATATGTTTTCATGTTATCATTTCATAACACCATTAAGCTTTTTACGCTAATAAACTGAGCAATTTGTTTCAGTTTCTTGTGGTTTTAACTGTTTACGCTTTACTTCCTGTTCCACTGGGTTGTAGCTGAGCAAATTTGATCCCATCTGGATGGAAGGATCCAATGAGTGTTAGTGCTTTGGCCAGGATCTGACACAATCTGACAGGATCTGACATTCAAGTAAAAAACGAACAAACCAGTTTACAAAAATTAAAGGTGACAAGCGCCAAATGCTTTTTAAAAGACTACCAGTCAGTTCTTTCCATGTTCCTGATCAAAGGTCAAGAGGAAGAGGAAGAGGAAGAAGAGTTTGGACTTGATATCCCGCTTTATCACTACCCGAAGGAGTCTTAAAGCGGCTCACATTTTCCTTTCCCTTCCTCCCCCACAACAAAAACTCTGTGAGGTGAGTGGGACTGAGCGATTTCAGAGAAGTATGACTAGCCCAAGGTCACCCAGCAGCTGCATGTGGAGGAGTAGGGAAGCGAACCCGGTTCACCAGAATACGAGTCCACAGCTCTTAACCACCACACCACACTGGCGTCCACCCCCACAAAAATGTCAGAGAGTGCAGGAGACAACCCTTAGGAGGAGCTTCTCCTTAGAAGGGTCTCAGGCAGGGGCAGGGCTTTTCTTCAGCCAGAACTTGCAGGAACTCAGCTCTGGCACGTCTCAGGTGGGCACCATTGCCTCTTTTTCTGGAAGAACAGCACTTGGGCAGGGGCAAGGAAAATCAGTTCACTCTCTTCCCTGTAGACTGGGGGCAGGTGTGGGGGCTTGTTTATGAGTGCAATGTGGGGTGGGGGGAATGGGGATAATTTTGCTTCACTGGGCACAGTCACACACGCAACACCAGCCAAAGGGGGAGGGGATCAGTTGTGTATTTAAGGCCTTTGGCTAATTAAACAATCTATGGCCTTTTAAACTGGGGGGGGACACGCTTGTTTGGTTTTAATTTATTACATTTGTACACCACCATTCATCTCAGGATGGTTCAAAGCATAACTATGTTATGTATCTTTGTGTTGTTATACTGCATTCTGCTCTGTGATCCTCAGGTGAAGGGCGGTATAGAAATTACATATATATATGGTCAAGGGTCAGTTTCTAGGAGCAGAGGTTCTTGCAAACAACTCGAGGAAAGACTGAGCCCACAAGGCAGGCCTTTTGGCTCACAGACACACAGAGAGACTGGGCAGTCTTGTGGCTGCTGCCACCCCATGTGTGTGACAGTGCAGTGAGGTGCATAGATGGCCACAGTGCAGCAAAGGCACATTAAAGTGGCAGCATGTTGATATTTATTTGGTAGGCAAGCAGCATTTTATTATTTATTTGGTATTTATTTAGAGCAGCTGTACCCTACCCTTCAGCCAAAAGGGCTCCCGGAGAGTGGCTTACATACTATTAGAGGAAGGCAGTCCCTGCTTGCAGACTTAAAGGTAAAGGGACCCCTGACCGTTAGGTCCAGTCGTGGCCAACTCTGGGGTTGCGGCGCTCATCTCGCTTTATTGGCCGAGGGAGCCGCCGTACAGCTTCCGGGTCATGTGGCCAGCATGACTAAGCCGCTTCTCGCAAACCAGAGCAGAGCACGGAAACGCCATTTACCTTCCCACTGGAGCGATACCTATTTATCTACTTGCACTTTTTGGCATGCTTTCAAACTGCTAGGTTGGCAGGAGCAGGGACCGAGGAGCAGGGACTGAGCAACAGGAGCTCGCTCACCCCGTCGTGTGGTTTGGAACCGCTGACCTTCTGATCGGCAAGCCCTAGGCCAGGGGTCTGCAACCTTTAAGACAAAAAGAGCCACTTGGACCCGTTTCCGAAGGGGGGGGGGACTGGGAGCCGCAAAACCGGGAAGGTGACGCCGGGACGGTGGGTGACTAACGCACGCACCGCCCCCATGCGACGTCACAGCCAGTACAGCGCCCGCCACAGTGGGGAGTGTCGGGGCGCACAATGCGCCTCCTCCCCTCGCTAGTATCCGCCCCGGAGCCGCAGCAAAGGTGTAAAAGAGCCACATGCGGCTCCGGAGCCGCGGGTTGCAGACCCCTGCCCTAGGCTCTGTGGTTTAGACCACAGCGCCACCCGCGTCCCTGCCTGCAGACTTACAATCTAGCAATACACAAGGAAAGGGGGGCAGGAAGGAAGAGGAGGGAAATAAACCTCATACACAGGCGCAGTGCAGGGGTAGGAGGTTCCAATGGAGCTGGGATTTCAGCAAAGCGGATGCAGTGAGCCTTCTGCCTCCCTTGTCTCCCACTGAGGCAGCCAGAACCAAGGTTTTAACCATCTTGGACACTCCAGGACACTTACAAACAAGTTCAGAAGCACAGCGCCCAATATTGATCCTTGGAGAACCCCATTTCTTAATTTGTCCATTTATTTCTACTCTACACCTCATCTTCTTCAACCAGTTATGATCCATAAGAGGATCTGTATTCTTATCTAAGGGGCCTTTGGTGAAGCGCTTTACCAAAAATGCCAGTCTTCAAAGCCTGCTCTTCCTCATCCAGCCATTTCTGACTTTCCGGCAGCAGTATTCAGGAAAAGTGGAGTCTTCGCTATCCCTGGAGGCCTGCCACATTTTTGACCAAAGACCTTACACCAAAGAGCTCAGGTTGTGTTGACAGTTCTCCCTTCCACTAATTTTACCCTCACAACAACAGCAAGTTAGGCTGAAAGGTACCAGCTGGCTCCAGGCCACTAAGTGAGCTTTAGGATTCAGTGGGGATTTGAACTAGGGTCCCACTCCAGTCCTTGGCTTCTGGATTGCTATGGGATAGGGTGGAGGCTGTAGGGAGTTGAGGGCAGCTGGGTTCACATTACAGTGGTACCTCAGGTTACATACACTTCAGGTTACATACGCTTCAGGTTACAGACTCCGCTAACCCAGAAATAGTACCTCGGGTTAAGAACTTTGCTTCAGGATGCAGGATGAGAACAGGAATTGTGCTCTGGCGGCGCGGTGTCAGCAGGAGGCCCCATTAGCTAAAGTGGTGCTTCAGGTTAAGAACAGTTTCAGGTTAAGAGCGGACCTCCCAAACGAATTAAGTACTTAACCCGAGGTACCACTGTATTGCCTTAGAGCACAATGAAGGTGACCTGTCCCTTCCTGCTAAGTTTCACATCTCTCTCCCCCCACCCCAGCACAGCTCCATGTCAGCCAGATTCCAATCTGCTGGAGTTCACAACGGGGAGGCACTGAGGAGGAGGGTGGGGTGTCTTTACCATTGACAGAGATTGTTAAGTTGTGGGTGAACATATCAGACAACACAGTGATTCTTCAAACAGCTCTTGTTTATTCACAGGCCAGAACAGAACTGAACTGAAGGGTTCAGTCAGCCTGCTTATATAGAGCTCCAGTACAACGCAACTGTAACAACTTTCTGTAACTATCCAATCACTGAACATCACTTTCAATCCCTTATTTGCATATGTGGACCTGAGTGAAAACTATCTACAGTATCCCCCTGCTGGCCCAGGGTGAGAACTGTAGTACATAACAGAGATGTTCACACCTTGGCCAACAGGGGCTAAAGAACTCCAGTCCGGTTTGAGAAACAACAAAACAGTCCCACTCCTGGGCCTCAGACAAGCTCTGTGCAGGTCTTTTATTCAGATATAATGTTCTGCACCTCCTCCATTGCAAACTTCCAAGTGTAAAGACGTGTTAAAAGCAGCGTACCTAGGCTTTCTTGTGCCCTTGGCAGGGAGAGTGCGGACGGGGCAGGAAGGCTCCTAGCCACTCCAAGCCAGTGTGGAGAGATTTCTGCACCCACTGGGTCTACGCCCTTGGCGAGGGCAAACCTAACCAACCCCTAGGTCTAAACAAAATAAAAAATTCCTTCCAGTAGCACCTTAAGATCAGCTAAGTATGTTATTGGTATGAGCTTTTTGTGTGCATGCACACTTCCTCAGATACACGAAAGCTCATACCAATAACAAACTTAGCTGGTCTCTAAGGTGCTACTGGAAGGATTTTTAAAAATTTTGTTTCGACTACAGCAGACCAACATGGCCTCCCTGTAACTACAACCCCTAGGTACATGGGTGTAGCCAAGATTTTTGTTGGGGGGGGCAGGCCTTTTGTTGGGGATGACAGAACCTGGGTTTGCACTGTATTTTTACTGATTTTATTGATTTAGGGGGGCAGGGAGGGGCAGCTGCCCCCCCCCTTGGCAACGCCCATGGCCATCCCTGTTAATAAACCCTCTTTCTTGAAGACACCGGCCTCCGCTGGGCCTCGAGCCACGTCCAGGAAACACAAAGCAGCCGCGGGGGTGGGGCTCCTCCTGGGGCCGCTCTCTCGGAAGGAGGCGCGGCGTCGGAGGAGAGGACCCGCCCCGGGCCACCTGAGCCCAGAAGGTAGGCGGGCAGGAAGGGGCGGCCGCCGGCGGGGAGCGAGAGAGAAGCAGGAAGTTTTGGGGAGCTGGCCGAGGACCGGGAAGCGGCTGCTCGGGGAACCCACTCGACGGGCTCATGGTGAGCTTTCCAGCCGCGCCGAGTTCGCTGCCTTCTCGCCGCCCCTCGACGTGGCTGGGCGGGGGACGCGGAGCGGGCGCTTGGCCAGGGGAGGGCGGGGGCTGCCTCTCGAGGCCGCGTCCCTGGACCAGGGCGCCCCCAGCGCCGGCTCCCCCTCTGGCGCGGGCTCGGGGTTCCCCCGGCTCTGGCGCGCCTTCCTTCCACCCTCGGGCTCGACCGGCGTCGAGGCGGCGCGCAGGGGCGCTGGGCAGGAGTGGTGGCGGCGGCGGGGGGGGGGTTTCGGAGGCCCCGGGACGAGGCTCCAGCCCCCGCGGGAAACCTCTTTTGCGGGGCTTGGCGCTCTTCCTGGTCTGGGCTGCTGGGGCGAGTTGGGCTCCTCCTTCCGGGCTTCTCCTCGAAACCTTTCCGGCCTTTGCAGACGCCCTCTAGAAACCAACAACTGGCCCTTTTTGCAAGCTCGGGCAACAGTTCCAGGCTTTCCCTCGAGTCCCCGCCCGCTTTTTGTCTTCCCAACAACCCTGCGAGGCAGGTTAGGCTGGGAGAGGTGGAACTGGCCGTGGCTGAGCGGGGATCTGAACACCGCCCGCCTTGACCCCAAGCCGACACTTGAACCGCTGCAGCCAGAGAGGAGCCAACTCCTAGGGGTTGTGGGGTCTTCGGCATCCCAATAACATTTGAGGGACCAGCGCCCCCCAAAGTTGATGAGCCTTGCCTTCAAATAGTGCACCGTGTCATATGATCAATTATGCCCCGCCCCATTTTTTATTCAAGTTGTCACCCCTGTCTGCAGCTTAGCACTCTGTGGGGGGCACTGAGATCTTGCCCCAAATGTCATCCAGCCCTACCCCCCGCCAATGCCAGAAGCCCATCGCGGCTGGATCCGTGCTCAGAAACCTCTTAAGAAAGGAGAGTCCAGAGTCCGTCCCACTGCTAGGATATTTCTTCTGTTAATCTCATCACTGAAACTTTATTATGTTGCTCTTTCGTCCTCTGGATTTTTCACACACCAGTCCAGCATTCTTGAGCCATAAGCCATCCAGCTGTCAAATCCACGCTGTACAATTACAGCATATTCAATGCACATTTAAAGCACATGACTTCCTCCCAGAGAATCCTGGGAATGGTAGTTTCCTCCCCACAGAGCTGCCATTTCCAGCACCCTTTACAAACCACAGCTCCCAGAATTATCTGGGGGAAGTCATGCGCTTTAAATAGATAGTGTGAGGGTTTATCCACACTTGCCTTTCCTCCAGGCAACGTCTGCACTTTAAAGCTCTGTGTCTGAGTACAAACACCCTTTTTTTTTTTTTTTTGCCTCAGAGCTTTCACCACAAAAACCCACTCTTTAAAGCTCGCTTGGAGCAAATGGCAATCTGTAGAAAACCTGAATTGACGTTTGCTCTGACTGAGTGCTAAAGAGCAAGATTTCACTGGGGCAAAAAAAAAGAGAGAGAGAGAGAGAGAGAAAACATTCTGACACGGAGAATTTAAGTACGGATCTGTGCCTGGAAAGAGTGCTGCAAAAGGTCAGTGTGGATGAGCCCAGAATCTGTTTCTAGACTACATTTCCTGTCACCTCCACCCAAGTTTGATGATGGGACCGATGGGAGTTGTAGTCCAAAACATCTGCAGAGCATTTTGTTGGGAGAGGCTGCCATGTTCAATTCCAGCTTCTCATTACTCTTGACCTGCACTGGTTGCTCATTAGCTGTGGTAGCGGTTTTTCTACATGGAAATAGCTTTTATGGTCTGTTATTGACTGTCATCACAACAGCTGTGTGAGGTCAGTGGGTTCCTTGTGCAAAAGTGAGTGATAGCAGAGAGTGAGTGCCCCTATCCCATGACTTGGGTGTGAGCCCAGGACTGCACTGGGTTTTGACCCCTCCTGGTGTAACCTCAGCCCTGTATCCCCTGAACTGTGCTGGGTCTTGCACGGAGGGTGCACTTAGCTGCCTCAGGGTGGTGGTGGTGGTTTGTTTAGGGAAGCAAGCACAGGGTATAGCAGACCTGCCCTGGTTCAGACTTTCGGACTCCCGCTTTGCATTTCCTAGCAAACAGCTTCCAGGAATAGGTCTGAAGATAAGGCAGCTATTAATTCCAGCCCTGGCAGTGTGTTTTGCTCCAGTTCTGATGTCAGAGCTGCCAAAAGAATGTTCAAGGAAAAGCCCAGCTTCTTTGTTCTGTGGAATGTTGGATTTTGAAATTGCTTGCTGTCCAGGAAAGCCACTTCTCTTTTTTCAGCCACAGCCCCCTTAGTTCCATGTGCCCCTTACCCCTGTTGTTGGCATCCGTCTGTCTCTAGAGGCAAACCGTTAGAGAATGGCAGCACCTGCTGTGGCTGCAGTGACTGTGACTTTTCTGGGGTGCAGGCCTGGGCAATGTGTATGGAGGTCCTAGGCTGTCCAGACTACAAGACCCCTGTCTTGGCCTCACTGATGTGGTCCAAGGAAGCAGAGCAAGCATTTGGCACCAGCTTGACTGCAGGAGTTTCTGGAAGGAGGCATACCAGGTGCCGTCCAACCGTCTTACTCCAAATTTGCCCGCTACACATAACAAAAAAAATATTATTCAGAATAGAGGCTTGCACATTCCATGAACCCATAATAACATAATAAAATTCAAAACAATTAATTGCACATTTATTCAAAATTAGATTCCCTATGCCCTACCTTTAGCTGAATATATTACTGAATTTCTGTTACTGCTTGCTTGTATTTGTGGTTCTGTAAAAATTGACCTCGTTCAGATTCCAGCAGCTATAAGTAGAATGCTAGAGCACAGAGGGCCCCTCCAGATTGCTTTGTTTGTTTGGGGGGGGGTGTACCATAACATGCCATTGACACAATCATTGTGCATTAGTGGTGTATTTATCTTTTTTTAAAAAAAAGATATTTATTAGTGTCAGAGGCTGCCTCAGGTCTCAGCTCACAAAAGACCAACGCCAAGCTCTTCTTATATACAAGGATGTTTATTGCAGTTCATTATTGGTTCCACAACCGAGGCGTGCAGCCCCGCGTCTTTTAGCCTAGACGTTTGAAGTCCCCTCTGAGTCGGTCCCGCCTCTACACCAGCTTAAGAGGCTTGTGCTAGACCACCTCTTCCTGTCTTTCCTTTTCCGCAGGGTCTTCCTGCCCCCCTGGGTTCCTTCCCTCCTGCTGTCTCCTGAAGCGGATTCCTCAGATGCCTGTTCCCCCCTCCTTCGTGCTTTGGGGCTAGGCTCCTCCTCCGGGCTTCCTCCATTTCCGCGCGCCTCCACATTTGAACTTGGCGCGTGTTCGCTACCCCTGACCTTCCTCTTGACACTTACACTACTCCCTGTACTACTCTCCGCCTCTTCCGGCAGGACGTCCTGCCCCGATCTCCTTCCCCTGTCTCTTTCCTGCTCCGCTCCGTGTGTCACACTGGGAACTCCCCTCTCTTCACTTCGTTCCTGCTGGGAAGCCGGCCCCGATCTCCCACTCCCACTCGGGGTTTCCCTGCTGCTTCCCTGCTCCTGGCAGGTCCCCCCTGTGACCCCCCTTGTCCTGACTAGGGGCGCCCCCTCCTGGGAATCCTCCGATTCACTTGAGAGACTCATGGAAGACCTCAAGTCATTGTCATCCTCTTCCTCACTGTCCTGGGATTCTTCCTCATCGCTCTCCGTCTCCCCCCTCACCTGTGCCTCTGTCTCTGAACCCCTGACAATTAGAATTTTACAAAATGAAAAAAGAAAAAGGAAAATACAAAGCAAAAATAGATAAAAAACAAACAATTCCATCTTTCCATCACTTTCTTTCGTTTGCTTATTTCCCGGACCTCCTCACACCTCCCTTTTTGTATTCCAGTTCAATTTGTTAGTTCAGCAAATCCTTCCCCTCTTTGTTTATCCTAATCTTTAATCTTAAAATAATATAACATTAAATTTTTGTCTGTTAATAGTCCATTTTCCCCCCATACTCCTTATAGCGTTATAGCTAAAAACCACATAACTTTCATCCAACATCATTTTAACACTCATTAATTTTACAATATTTCTGTAAGTAGTCTTTAAATTTCTTCCAATCTTCCACCGACTCTTCTCCCTGGTCTCGGATTCTGCCAGTCATTTCCACCAGTTCCATGTAGTCCATCACCTTCATCTGCCATTCTTCCAGGGTGGGTAGATCTTGTGTCTTCCAATACTTTGCAGTAAGTATTCTTGCTGCTGTCGTAGCATACATAAAGAAAGTTCTATCCTTCTTTGGCACCAGTTGGCCGACCATGCCCAGGAGAAAGGCCTCTGGTTTCTTCAGAAAGGTATATTTAAATACCTTTTTCATTTCATTATATATCATCTCCCAGAACATTAGTGGTGTATTTATCCTGGACCATACACACATCGTTCCACTTCCCCAGTGTTATTGTCTTATTGCTGTTGGGAGGTATCCTCTTGCAACAAAGGTGAGACAAAAAAAAAGTAAACCAGAACGTTTGTGGAATGAGGAGTTAAAGGATTTCAGTAGGAAGTTACAGGACATGCACTGACCAGAAATGAAGCAGTGTGTCCACCCTGAAACTGTTGGTAGGCTCAAACCGTATTGAAAGTGGGACCTGCTTATAACTGGCCCAATACCATCGCAAACACAAAGAATTATGAATGCAAATGGAAAAGTGCATCTGGAGTTGCCCAGAGACTATAATGGCTGAAGCCAAGCCTTTGAACTAGCCCTGCAGGAGAGTAAAAATTGTGGGAACGAGAAAACCTGGGTATGGTTTACAAGGTTAAGAATATGATTGTGAAAGAATTAAACCCAATAGTCCTTTGTTCCTTAGCAGCCAAATTAAAGTATTAGAGCTTGCTTATGGAGTTCTGATTACAAATCCCTAAGACAAATGGAATCAATCCTTTTGCAAATGCATTTGGG